GGGGGGAGAAAATAGGGAGGACACAGACACGCACACGTTTATATAAACTACGCTGGCATTTTTCACAAAGTGTTTTTTTTTCCCTTAACAAGAAACTACAAAAAAGTTACTAATTGTTTCTTATCACCTTACTTTGTTTCTTGTGTCAATAGGAATTAAAAAATTGCTCTACTTACTTAAGGAACGACCACATTCAAAGTAGTAGGCTACAGAAACTGATACTAAAAGTAAGATAAATCGAAGTATGACAAAAAATAATTTCTTTAAGAATATAATACAAGTCTTGATAATTTGTTAAGCTCGAAGCTCTTATCATAGTATGAACTGCAACGTTTTCCTTTTAGTGTTCGAGGTTAATTAAAGCTTAATCGAAAAGAGCTACGCGAATTGTTGCTGAACAGAGATGCGAGAAACAAAATACATAGACAAAAGGGCATTAAGGAAACACACTAATGGCCCACTCTTTTAATCACCTTCAAGAAGGCTTTGCCTTCCTACTTGTGTGTCTGGCACTTTCTAACACTATGTAAATTATTGACACCATGGGTTCCACAAAAATTCTTCTTTCTTAAAAACACATAATTTTCATTTATTTGTAAAGGGTCGATGAGTTTCCTTTGAGCTTGATCGATATTCTCATGTATCCGTCTCAGAATGATTAAACAACTGTGCAATTGTCAGACATGTTCAAATAATTCTATTATCTGTTTCCACATAAAGAGATTTTTAAAAAATCAGCAGATCCTTAAGGAATTGCTAGTATAAATATTTTCATGTCGGTCCCAGTTAATTAGGTTAAAGTAATTTTCACAAATGCTCAACTATTTTGAACATGCGTGATATGATCAAAATAACTGTAGGCCTACATTAGACATCCCAAATACTCCTTTATTAACGAAATAACGAGATCTTTAGCAAAAACAACTTTGATCTCAGATGATATAATTCCAACATTATTCCAAACACGAACGTGGCATTTTTTACTCAAGAGCAGGGAGACCTTTTAATGATATTGATTGTTGCTGAAAGCTTTTTTTTCTGTAAAGTAATGACGGCTCAAGTGATTGATGACTCTGTCGAGAATCGCACACCATCAGGCAGAAGAGCAAGCAAGACTCTTTCAGCAAACCGCTGGTCTGACATTGTCAAACTGGTATCGATTTCAGTACTTTGGCAATATCGACCACGGCTTCACAAACTTAACAGTGTTTCCAAGTACACTGATTTAGGTGCCGTCTCGTTCGCCAGTTGTCACACATAAACATAATAAAACAACTAAGGCAAAGTATTTGATTGAAAATTAGACTTACAGCACTCAGTAGCAAAACTAAATTTAATAATGAGGCCAGCACACAAAATTAACTTCTACCACAGCAACATCAAAAGTTCAATTTAAAACTAATAAAAAAAGAACCGGTGGGGGGGACAAAGAAACGCAGACGGCGTTATTGCAAAAGTACGCGAAAGAACGCAAACAGTTGCTGCTCAAGTTTCCGAAGAGCGTGATCACAAACCTGCTTCCTCTTCCTCCCCACAACAGCAGCACCGACAGAAGATCAATCTCAACAAGGCTTTTGGGGCACCGATGATGTTGAGAGGGGCAGGCAGTGTGCCACCGTTTCCGATATAGTCCATGTACAGAAGGCTACGGGCAAACTTCCACTCCCTGTCCGAGTCTTCCTGGAAACGCCCGCATAAAAATATGTTATTGAGAAACTGCAAGTCATAATAATATGATTAATATGAGGCTTCACACGAAATTAACATCCTGAAGCCAAGAGAGAGGCCTGCAAGCTGCGCACGTCTTCGAGTGGAAATGAAGCTTTTAAAAGCTCAAAATGATGTTGGAAAAATTGCTCTATCTAAATTGGGTCTCACTGGCCATACCAGAAGCCACATGTCACCTAAACCCCCGTTTCTCCTCTTTCACTTACGAAATATTTTCCTTTGCAGATGCTTTTATTGGTCATCGTCGAACATAGACGGACGAACTTTTATTGAGCACCTGCGTTGAGCTCGTTTATGGAACTTGAGGTGCTTAATACAGCAAAGATAGTTCGGTTTGTTTTGTGTTATCATTCGCGTGGAACGAGGTGAACGGGGTGAGGGGGAGTACAGAACAGAGGGAAAGATAAAAGTTAAGAGCCACAGAGAGAGAGAGAGAAAGAGAGAGAGAGAGAGAGAGAGAGAGAGAGAGATAGACAGACAGACAGTCAGACAGACAGACA